ATTACACACGCGAACGCCAGGTTAGGTCACCGCTGCCACGTTAAGTCCGCATCGCGATCGGTCAGTCTTTTGACCTCCGCCTTCGTCCGTTGAAGCATCGCGATATTGATTTGGGTGTCAAAGGGCGCGCAGCCGTACAACCCTGCACCGTCGATCTTCTGCGCAACAACCTGTTATTCACGACATGCAGGGTGACTGCAAAGAATGCGGGTATTTGAAAAGCGCAAACGCACACAAGGATAGTTTCCATTCTGTTTCCTTGCATCAACTACTGCTTCTAGCAAGTCAGCGAGTACGCCTACGCCGTCGGACACTAGAACCTCGCCGATCTCTGAATAATCATCATCCCACCACCTACCCCGCGGTCCCCCAGACGGGATCATACAGCCCCGAACCATTGGATCATCCGGTGCTCGTCACCCGCTTGAGCCATAAACAGACTCGCCCTTCCATGAATTGATATCCCATCCTCCATTAGCAGTCCTTCAATCAAGCCAATTTTTCAGCTACCGGTCAGGCTGCCTGCCGATGCAACCCTACCTACGCGTCTGCGGCGTAACCATATCGATATGAGCCAACTGAAATAACTTTGAGAGCGCAGCCAACTAGACTGCTCGTACGCAGCGAGTATACTTCGCAAGCGTGGAGAGCAGCAGGGCGAGAGATGTGACGCAAGTAGGTCTCAAGCAATCCTACGTGCGACAGCAACTTGCCTGATGCGGAAGCATGTTGCGAAGCCTGCGCCTCGTGGGATTCAGCCTCTAGTGGGGCTGCGCGACTCTGCCAGTGACGCATTCCACATACCATGGATAACTCGAATTTGAAATGATACAAAAGTCTCCACATGCACTACAACTGCACATCTGGGAGTAGTTCAAGAAGCATGCGGATCACTCGGTACGCAAACCGCGCCACGACGCCTCGCGACAGCTTCGACGGAGCGCAATTCGTTGCTCGGCATACCGGATGCGATCTAGCAATCCCACGATAACAAGCGGGCACTCGGTGACCGGTTTTTCGTCACGTGCAGAGCGCGAGATGCCACGGCACGGAGTCAGCTCCGGCGCGGCTGTGTGGAAAGCTCCATGAGAGGCTGGTGTGAAACGGACAGTGGCACAAGCATCCTTCACGGGTTCAACCGTGTCTCGTCTGTTGCTCTCGTCTGCCATGCTATTCCGGGACCCATACCAGCAGGCAGCCATTCGGCAAGGCCACCAGCTACGCCTGAGCCTTTTTGCATACGATAATTACAAGCGCAGAGTTTGTGTCGCCCCGTCACGCTCTGCGACACGTATCGTTGTTCGCAGAACATACCTTCAGGTTGGCCGTTGAAACGTCCGCGCCACTTAGTCGCGTACAGGGCAGGCGTCGCACTGTCTCGCATACCATACTCGGGTTCGTGCACCGCCCACGAGGATCGTTACGAAAGGTATGCCTCCCTCGACCTTTGTCAGCAAGCGCATGGCTCGCTTGACGTGACTGTTCCGCAGAAACTGTCTAATGCTAGAGCTTTGACACCTGGGCAGGATGTTTTAGCGCCGGTAACTATCGCAAGCCGCTAAGCACTTTGTCCATCCTTTGGGCGGTCCCCAACGGTCGTTCTGTCGGTAATAACGCCCTTCTAACTCCACCGCCGTTGATCTTGGATTCGAGCGATTAAGTTTGATTTGCGAATCGAATATCGTACAACGCTCCGTAGCGTTGACACAGACCCCGATGCCGAAGAATTCCAAGGACCATCGACAAGACAGCCCCAACTAGTACCTGTCGATTCAGCCTTGCGTTCAATTCGCAACTAGTTGCCCAGCGGATTTCACATGTAAACGAACCAACGAATAACGTTCCATTAGCGGCAAAGAGGCGAGTACGAAGCCGCCTAAACGCTTTCAGGATAATGCAGAGAAGAAGGATTGACCGCAACGCTTTCCTAAAGGGGTAAAGTTTCAAAATTCCCGTGCGAGCCCGAAGCAAAGGGTCTCGGCGATTTGTGACACCTCTCGCACTTCGCTGCTGCCCGGAGGACGGGTTGAGACGGTCTTTTACATCCGAGCACGAGACGATTCCTCCGTCACACTGTATTTGCAGCGGAAGTATAGGGTTCCAGGAGCATGATCCTTCCTGTGAAGGGGCCATGCATGGAGAGGATTTGCAATCAAATCAAATCACGTCATATCTTGCTCACGTTACTGTCCTGGTGGACAGTTGTATCTGATACCCCGGATTTCCCACGTTGTATATGTCAGCACCCAATTCTCCAGGGTCAACTCCACCGGCGGTTGCTCGCGCAAGGGCTTACTGATCTGACAACCGTTCGCGCGCTGTAGGGCTGAAGGAGAATTTACCCTCCACGCGGGGTGTAAGAAGTAGGCGTCTGACATGTATTCCACACCGTCTTCGTCGCATTCATCCTCATGCTGCTACACCGTCATCTCGAAAGCAGAAAGACGACGCGTCGCATCGCGTCATGAGCGCCCTCTCCTCGCCCGTCCGGTGCGGCGGCGGAAGCTTCGGAAACCCGTGCCCACGATGCCATCCTTGTCCAGACCTTCAGATTGACAAAGAGCGCACGCGGCCAAACCCCCTGCCCCAGCTTCCGCGAACCCCCTATAGCACAACAAACCTGACGACGATATGTCGTGAGTCGGCCCAATGTAAAAACCCGTATTCCGCCTTCGTACTAATCCGTACAGTATTGCGAAGCGGAACAAAGAAATCCGTGTTACCAGTATTCCCGTTTTCTGGTAAATGAGGTGTATCCGTCCAGCGATGCGCCCAGCCCGATGAAAGCGAAAATCCATGTGCCGTTGAGCCCTGCAGCGTCCGGCATTTTCCATTCGACAGGTATTCGTGCGCATCACTTCCACGATCATGTTGGTGAGTCGAGTCAGGGACTTGAAGGTGAGGGAGAGCCGAGACAGAACCAGATCCTAGCCACGGTCACCCATGCATCGCGACATTCGCCCCGAATACACAGTTCTCGCACCGATTAAACCACCACCAAGCACCAACTGCCAACGTAGTCCTGCGCACACCGTTCAGAAAGTCCGGCAGATGATTGTTGGTCCTTTTCCCTTTTTTCCACACCGGACGCGTAACAGGTTGAGTACCGAGCGCTGGTGGGCGGCTAGGTCGATCACACGCCCAGTGCATGCCACCTGTTTACTAAGTTTCTGGTCTGCCCCATCTAAGATGGGAATAGAACCGTTGGGCTGAATTTAACGATGATTACGATTCAACCTCAGATTTGGTTTCGATGACAGCGGGCGATTGTAGGGCTGAAAATGAGGGACTCGAGCATGGCGATCGATACAGTATTGCGCGCCCCCCTTCGTGTGGGGGCTGGGCTGCGAAAGGGGGTGGGGAGCAAGCGAACCGACCAACTGGAGAGTTTCTGGGGGAGATTTGTGGTGTTTTTGGCTGGATTCGGAGACTTTTCCTTACTGTTGGTAAATTGGCAGGTGCGTGGCGGTTAGGGAAGTTGGGTGCTAGCTTGACTACACCGTCTGTATGCGGTTGTCGCGTGAAGATCTGTGTGTATTATAGTTCTGTTGGAGGTGAGTTGGGGTAAAGTGTCGCATTGTTGTTTTGGGTCAAAGGGGAATGGCGCGGTTTAACGGCGATTGAAGGTTTGATCGAATCCGGGTTGACGTTTTCGCTTGTCGGCTCGCTTCAGTTGTCCCCTTCGTCTACCCTGGGACGACTGATCACGATCGCGTCTTGCTGAATCATGCTTCACTTATCCTAACGTTGTTCGTGGATGGAGTGCATGGTCTGGTTGTTCCAAAGTATGGTTTGAAGGGTAATTACAATGCGTTGGTCGAGTGCGACTCGTGGATTCAATGCGCCAGAGCTACCCAACGCCCAACGTCGCCTCACAGTTTGACAGCAAACTATCGAAGGTTACAACCTAGATTTCCGCTCCGGTAAATCTACCGACAGTCTAATGCTTCTATCTCTTCTCTGACAGGAGGTCCATCATGTAGGCCAAGGTAATTCCTGGCTGCCCACTTGCTTGTTTCGTGTTGGCTATCAAGCTGGACAGCCAAAGGCTATACATCAATGCTTGTGCATGTTAAGGCATCCCGGGAACCACAACAAGTGGTGCATTTAGGTCTCAGAGACACGTAGAACACAATCAGCACCAGGAGGACCCCTCTACGTAGCCCCATTCCCCAACCAAACTCACTTTCCATCTCAACAGCACAACAAGCCATCTTCACGGTCCAAGCATACACCTAATCAATTCCCTAAATCTTCCGTTCTATCTGATATAATGAAGCGAGCCAACTGTCGCATACCAGACCATAAACCAAATCTCCGGACTCGACCCTCTTCTCGGGACTCACGCAACAATGCACGCAAGTTCAACCCCATGCCACCTGATTGGCTCGATCACCTACCCTTTTAACCACCACATTAACCAGCATTCCTTTCCACGTGTATCACCCGCAACGTAGAACATGACGAATGTCGTGGGCGGAAAGATCTTGGTTTGTGGACCCTTACGCCCCAGCGTCTATGCAGCCACAATGGGGCTAGCTGCGCCCTGGACGTAGCGTACAGCCCTGAAGGTGTTTTTGGGATCAGCGCAATGAGCCCCATGGTGCAGCCATGGAGTGAATGTAGAGTGCAGGCGATGCATGTCGAGAGGGCGACGACGATTGATGCCCGGTGGGGTCTTTTGTCGTTCAAAAGTGGATCGAAGACGTGTAGTGAGTGATCAACACTTACGTGGATGATGGCCAACTGGGATGGTGGCGGTTGTACTTGATAACTCGGATTTCCTTGGTGGCCTGAATCAGTCACCAGTACCCCTCACACAAGGAAGAGGTTGAGTAGGTCTGCAGCCTACACCGAGATGAAAACATGCAAAGTAGATAACTGAACGTCAATGTAGGCCCTAGGAAGCGTTGAAGTCATGGTGTAGCACTCAATCAGGAGCAGAAAGGGCTCTTAGAACATACGGTGCATTTGGTGTGAGGTCAGCCATAATAGAGAGACTATGACAACCGTACCCTCTTCTCTACTACAGCCTCCCAATCCTTCTTCGTGAATGGGAGATACCGATCACTACCCTCTGGTAGCCAGTACAGCTTATCCTCTCCAGTGATCTTATCCGGATCAACACCTTCCTTCTTCAACCTACCCTTTTGAATCTTCAAAGTGCCAGTATACTCTAATGCAGGCGTTACTCTTAGAAACAGCGGCACTGCATAACTCGGTAAGACCGCTTTCGCGTGCTTTGCCAGAGCTGCGAAGTCGAATGTTGACTCTGTGACTCCATCTGCCATAACGATAGATGCAGTCCCCGCTCGGCCGTCGTAGCCAGGCACGAGGACGCCGTATGCGTTCGTTTCAGCGATCTGCGGGAACTTTCCGAGCATGTCGGCTACTTCGTTTGTCGATACGTTCTCTGACTTCCAACGGAATGTATCACCTAGACGGTCGACGAAGAAGACGCGGCCATCGGCATCTTGTCGCATCATGTCTCCCGACTTGAACCATCTACTTTCATAAGCTTGCAGTCGACGAGATTGGAAGGATGACTTACATATCGCCCTTCTCGAACACATCCCTAATTCTCCTATTCTCTGTGGCACCTTCGTTCTTGTAGTAGCCTGGTGAAGTAGCCACCGTCTCCGGTGTTAATTTGTGCAGCACCTGGCCTGGCTCGTTCACTCCACATCTGATTGCAAAGCCGTTTGCATCTCTCATGATCTCTTCCGTGTCAACATCCATCTTCACCCTCACTTCCTGGTCGCCGAACCGCCAATTCCAGATCAGCCCTCGGAGACCTATGCTATTTGCCGTGAAGGGACCAGCGTTGCGATTGAATGTCGCCCCTAATCCATCGGTAGCCGCATATAATTCGTTGATGATGGGTATGTTGAAACGCTCACGAAAGGGTTCCCAGACGTCAGGGCGCATGCCGTTGCCCCATGCCATCTTTACTTTGTGTTTCCGCTCGAATGCATTCGTCGGGCCGTTGAGTAGATACCTGCAGAGCTCGCCGACATATTGAATGATATCCGCATCTGAAGCTGCGACTTCAGGCCAGAAGGTCTTGTGCGAAAACCTCCGGCTCAATACGACTGTACCGCCAGCATGAACCATCGGTGTAACGCAAAGGCCATGCGCAGCCCTGTGATAAAGTGGCATACATGTGTACATTCTGGATGCCGGTTTCAGTTCGAGGTATTTGGCGGCGCTGTAGCCAGTCAAGAGCTCGCGACCAGTGCTCAAAGTCACACCTTTGGGCAGTCCGGTCGTTCCGGAAGTATACAGCAGCGAGCGGAGGGACTCTATAGTAATGTGTTCGCGACGCGAGTCTGGTATAAGAGTCGGGTTCGGTAGCGACGCGAAGAACGAGGGATCGTAGTACTGGATCTTGATGCCGGTCTCCTCGAGATCCGTACGGCATGGCTCGACATTGCTCTTGACATCGGCGTCTGTGATGAGGAATCTGCAGTTGCATAGCTATTGCAGAAGTCAGCCAGTGTCTATCCGCCTAGTTCCAGGAATACTTGCCCTTGCGCAATGCACCAATCCTGTCCCAGTGAGGTTCCAGTTGACGAAGCTCGGGACAGCTCCAATCCCATCGAGAGCAAACCAGAGCATCAGATACTCCGGGCTGTTCCCGCCATCCACAGCAACCACCTCATCAGCTTGTATGCCCAGGTCCTCTATCAACCAATTCCCCACCCTGGTGAATGCATCAAAGAACTCCTTGTATGACCAGATTTTGCCTTCGAAGATGAGGAATGCATGGTTCGGCTGGCTGCAGACCTGGTCTTCGAAAGCGTGGTACGTGAGAGCACGTTTGCGAGCTGCACGGTCGGCGATGAAGTCAAGGACATCTTGTGTCGGTGAGAGAGCACCGCGTTTACGCCTAAGGTCATGGGCAATATGATATTTTGCGTTGAGGTAGGCTGCTAGGGCTGCTGTGCCTGCTGCTCCGGCGATTATGGGTACTTGAAGATAGTCAACATCCGAGAATACCACGAGAGGATAGAGGTAGATGCTTACATGCCATAGTAACGACCACTTTCCACTTATCGTCCGGTTCCAGAGGTGTTCATCAAAGATACAATGACCGATCCGTCTCTTTAACCCCAATCAACCGGGTGTACCAAAGACAATGCGGGAGAACAGATAATGTGATTCATCGCAAAAGCTTCCTTTCGCAGGGAGTCGGGGAAAGCTAGGTGCACCGAGGTTGTTGTTGTCGCAGAGACGCGACTCAGGGACCGTCGACTTCCCCGCATTCTACCGGGTAGCTTATTTCCGGGCATCCGCTACAGGGAACCCCAGGGGTTTGCTACCATATCATCTGCAGTTTCTTTCTAAGTCGAACAGTCAGACATGTCTTACGATCATTCAATCCAATACTCTGCAGTTTTATGATCTTGAGGATCTCTCTAGACCCGTTGTTGATAACATGCTCTGCGGTTGCCGCACAGGAATGTTGTCGAGAGTGTATGAACGCGCCCATCGTCCACGAACAAGAAGGTTAGAGCAATGGGCAGTTCTGGAGCTTGTGTTGCATCATGCGGTTGCTGCATACATAGTGGTATATTTGATCAAGTAGGTAGTATAGAAGATGGTGTATACTTCTACTCAATTGTTTTTGTAGCATGGAACGTATTGTTACCTCTCCTAATGAGGGGGTCTCACGTCGTTTGATCCTCTTAATCACTATCATACTGCATCTTGCATCGCGCGGCAATATACCGCCAGTTTCTAACTCCCATACAAACAACATCTCATCCTGCCCCCTTCATTCCATCTTGTTCATCTCTCCAAGATATCTACTTCCTCTCCTTCCAAGGTTGAAAGCCATTCCCCTACCATAGCGTCTAGCTTCTTTACGTCCTCCCCATCCTCATCAGCCACAATCTCATCATCTTCAATCTCAAATCCATGACACTGAAGCCATAGGGGAAGGTCCTCCGCCCCCTGCGTGCGATATATCGTTATCTTTTGGCCGTCCCAAGACTTGGACCGAAGGGTGATGGAATGTCTCCAGTACCCATATCGTCTCAACACTTTCAAGAGACATACATATACTGTCTCGCAAACGTGTTGTTCTCTAACCCACTCTTGCGTACCAGCCCAAGAACCGCTGTTGAGGTCGTAAAGGGCTGCTTCTGCTTCATCAATAGCTTCAGGTGTGTTCTTCTTATTGCGATCAAAAGTCCAGTGCTGTATCGCTGAGCGGAAATCGTCGTTTGTCCATTCTTTTGCTTTGGGGAATTTTGCTGGGTTCCAATCCTGAGCGAATTGTTCTGCCGTCTCGTATTCACCCTCAAAGCGTTTGTACTCTTGTGTTGGTGAGGAAGGAAGGGTACATACGCATCCAGACCGATGGCGTATGTAACTCTGCTGATAGTACGGAGCTGGCTCAGATCTGGTAGGCTGACCTGTTGTAGCTGGGGCAGTCGCCGCTCTCCTGTGGTGTTCATAAAGCTGCTTATGATATGACTTGGCGGTAAATTGGGCTTGAGGGACAGTCATCTCATCGGTTGGTCGTTCGTTCTCGGAAGGCATCTTTGGGTATAGCCTTTTTATGTTGTGCTTGTGGGAAACTTTTAGATCTTTTGCTTTGGGGTCGAAATGTTGTAAGTCAATATGTAACTTCTAATGTCTGAGGGCACGCTTTATATATGAGCAGCTTTGCTTCTGTATTACTCAAATAGTTCGCCCACTTTCCTGGTCGTTTGGACTATGGATATGTGCGGTAGCGAACCATGGTCGAAAACCTGAGGCTACGCGAGTCCCCCAAGTCAGACTCGCTCATACTCGATGCATGTCATGAGTATTGGTTCAACCTTTACTTAACTGGCGGCTCGTGTTCTACGCCGACATTCAACATGATCCACACACGCCTCGTATTTGGCATGCAAGTCCGCCACCTCATCGGAGAACAATCGACCGTGGCTCGGAATAGTCCTCCGCTTCAGGGTACCACTCTTTCGACTGCTACCATGATGTTAGCGATCTCATCATCGTCACTTTTGACCGTATTTGTACTTACATCTTTCTTCACCTCGGATTTTACCCTCTTAATCACCACCAGTCCAACCCTCACATACTCGCCCCGCTCTTTATCCGTACTAATGATTGCCACACCCAAAGCCGGCGCAACGATCAGAACCTCACAAGCCTCATATGCCTCGACATCGAAAAGAACGCGCGCATCATGGTAGCTTTGATCGCGCATCTGCACCTTACACGACCGATACGGACTCTTCCCTGTCGCTACATCTTTCCCGATAGCAGTGACATCCGTCACCGGCCCACTGATCCTCGCCCACCCATCTTTCAACTCACCAAGCGGATTAAGTCCTTTAGGCACGACCCTGCATCCTTCAAGAAACGCACAGAAGCCTTGCAGCGAAGTATTCATACCTGTAGTAAGATCACCTAATCCGTAATCCACAGGTCCTTCCCCAGACATGAACGACCAAGACGGCGCGGTCCAAACGTCAGACCGTTTAAAAGGCGCAACATCATGCCTAGGTACCCACAGGAGCCACTTGGCGAAATTCCGCTTCCACAGTCCCGCAGCGCAGACGTCGCCAGTCATGCGCTGCAAGACGGTCATGACGCCTGAGATGGCGGGGAATTTGTCTTTGGGGTATGTTATCCCGCGGGCGGTGTAGTCGCGGACGAGTTGGAACCATGCGTCTTGGCCAATGGCGGCACCGATGGGGAGGTTGATGCTGTAGACTACGGCGTCGAGGGTGTAGAGGTGCGTCCAGCCTCGCCTTTGCTCTTCGTGCGAGATACCGTCGGGACAGCGCCAGAACATGTTGGCGCTGCCAAAATGGAGGGAGCGGGATGGTAGGAGTTGTTCTTGGAGGACCCAGGCTCGTGTTTCGAGGGGATCGCTTGGTAGTGCCTGGGTTTTGTTAGCAAGGAGACGACGGCGTCTCGGGGGATGGAGCCTACGTAGTTGCGGGTCTGTTGAGCGACGAGATATACTTCTAGATCACCTTCGCTATCGTGGATTTCAATACGTTCAGTCATTGGCATCTTCCGTGGTCCTAGGAAGCCTGCTCCGCAATGTGAAGCGTTGGATGCAGCAATATTGATGTATGATCCTGAGTAGATGTCGGCCATGACAGCCGATTCTTTTTCCCAGTCTGCTGTGTCATCTTGTACTGAGAGCGAGAGTATAAGCATTAGCATATGTACTGTATACAGAGGAGTCGGTTCATACCAATTGCCAAGCAGTCGATCCATACGTACCGTAGACCAAGAAACCGTACCACCATAGCAGCATCTTGAAGGGTCTTAGGAAGATCTTGGAAGCCGATGCTGCTCTTTCGCATTGAAAGCGTCTCTGTGGTAGTCATGAACGGCAACCCATTTCCCCAACAATAGCTCAGCGTTGCGTACTTCCCTTTCTGACCAGCGGTCGTTTCGACTAGCTTACATTTGGATTGAGAAAACAGTTCTGGCCACTGCTTCATGTTTTCGGCTAGAGCGTCGGAACTGGGCATGTCATCGAGATCCAGCACTCTTGTAGGCAACAGCGAATCTTGCTGGATCGCAGAACATCTCTCATGCCGGGCGTTGCATTTATCAAACCAAGCCCTAAATTGCTTCACTGGCGTCGGGTCAAGCGAGTCTTCTAATTTTACTGGCTTGAATAAGTTCGGAGATGGGGTATCTTGTCTTGGATTAGCGTCCTCGCAATGGGTCAGCAACAAGATCCTATCCAAACATACCAAATCTATTTCGAAACTCCACAGCAGTAGCTTCATTTATGCCCTTGTCTAGATAGAGATCCAGCTTTGTGCCGTATGTTTCAGATTCGGATAGATGAAGCCATGCTGGAGTGGCCTCCATGTCCACTTCTTGTGCGACTCGTTGGTAAATCGGTCGTGTTTCCACATCCCGTATGAGCATGCTGCATATTATGCAGTCGATAGCGCTTTCTCTCAGTAATGGTAAATTGGTTTGGCGTCTATCGCATATCCAAGTTTCGCTGTCGTGGCCCCAGGGCATGCCATTGTCGTCGGTCCAAGATTTCTTCTTCCACCCTGGAGGATGGTCGCCGCGGGCGAGCGCGCGGAAGGGTATGGAGCTACAAGTAATGCAGAGTGACATAATCAGTGTATACAAAATTACTAGGGGGAATGGCAATGGTGAAATGTGATGTGAGAAGTCGGGTGTGATTAGTGGGACGTACCTGCCTGTTTACAGTCAGCCTGCAGGTGCTCTAGCCTCACGTGTCTTAGTACATGGGACTGCTCCCCACAACCAACTTTGTCTCTCTAGAAACACTCTTCATGGAGTGCTGTGATTTCATGCCATAGCATTGATTTCTCTCATATTTTATCTATCCATATCATCACCACCACCCCATCCACGACCTAATACCCAACCCCACCCCCCTCAGTCGGCAAATCAAACCACTGGGAATTCCCACCCGTACAAGTTTCCCTCAGATACGCCCACGCCTTGGGCCTCTGCCTCCCCTCCAACCCCGGATCCAGCTTAAGCGCCATCTTATACGCCGCCGTCTGCCCGCTACTATCAACCGGATCAACGTAATCAGGGATATCGCCAAAGTCCTTCTTCTGCAGCCGCTGTTCCCACGTAATGCTGACGGTGCCGCCATCGACAAAGGCAAAAGGCGTGTTGTCGACGTAGTGCAATTGGATGCCGAGGCCGTACATGACGGTTGGGAACCATTTGTAGGCGGAGTAGGCGATGAAGTTTGGGACGGAGGAGACGGGGACGACGAGTTTGGAGTGGAAGGGTGGGGCGGTGTTGAGGTCGGCGGCTTTGCCTTTGCCTTTTCCTTCGTACTGGTTTTTGGTCTGGTTGTCGAGGCGGGAGGTGAGTTTCATGAGTGTGATGAGCGTGTTGAGTTCGGGGCAGCCGCCGTAGAGGTACTGGGGATGCTTCTTCAGCGATGAGATATGCTGGCCAACGGGGCCGGTCAGCTGCTTCTCGTAGACGTCTGCTTCCTTGATGTACTGGTTCATGCGGCGCAGGATGCTGGGAGACATGGACTCCTTGCGGTTATCGATTTGGAACCGGACGTGGCGGACCATGTGGAAGCGGCCCAGGTACGCGAGACGGTCGAAATAAGTCGAGGTATCATAACCGATGGAGAAGGTGTTCGTAGAATAGAACATGGGAAGTGACTCCTCGCGGACCTGCTTGCTGACGCGGGTGATACCGAGGAGATCGCTGGTAGCGAAGTGATGCTCTGCATTGTCGTCGTGGAACTGGACGACCTGATCGTCGGTATAGTCGCACAGATGAGGCCTGATGGGCCGGTCTGTATCGAGTGCGAGCGCATAAATGCGCTGACGTAGCTCCACAGAAAGCTCCATGAACTTGTGGAACTTGGGCTTCAACATCTTGCACCTGCCGGTGGTATGACGTTCGGAGTGACACTGGTGACAGAGTTTGCAGTCCATGTTGCGGATACCCTTTTCTGCCATGCAAGTGAGGCAGTGAGTGGGCGTGCGATATCTAGGCAGACGGGGTCGCACCGGAACGTTGGAGGTAATAGGAGGTGGTTTTATCGCGCGTCTTGCCTTGGGCTTTGAAGGTCCTGGCGTGGGATCATTGACTGGTGGAGCTAGCGGGAGGATAGGGTTGAAGGAAGGTCCAGAGAGAGAAAACGCAAGATTGCTGTCGTCCTCGTCCCTCAGTGCTCGGAGGTCGGCTTCAGAACGCGATGAGTGCAGTAGACGACGACGACGTGTCAAGGCGGTGGATGCCTGGAAGTCACTCGAGCCAGTAATCGATCCCGACGAAAGAGGAGCGTGGTTCAGATTTGCTGCGTCACGAAGAGCGTACATGTATGAATCGGCTGCACAAGTTAGCTGTTAATCCTCACCAGAAAATTAACGGGGTCCTCTTACCTTGGTTCCTCCAGTAAGTCTCCGCTTGCCGACCATTCGATTGCCCTGACTCACCAGACGTCGGCCCACCAGTACCAAATCCCGAGCCTGCTTCGATCGCTTTCTGAAAGTCTTCATCGTATTTATAATCGAAGTATTCCTGGCCACAGCGGTCGCACAGAGTCCGCTCATCTCCATCCTCCTCACGAGGGTCAGGCTTCAGGCAGCAAGACATGGGCGGCAGAACGAGATTTCCATTGACCACCAGGTCAGTAGGAGGAAGGAGTGGAGCCAGAGATGGTTGCGCGGGTGCGTGAAAAAAGTTCTGCGCGTACACCGCACCACACCCAACGCAGACCCAGTCACCGTCGTCCATGGTCCAGTGCTTAGAATCTGGACAGCATTTCGGGGAGTCGCCTATGATGGGATGTGGACGGCCTGGTTCCTGGTTGACCTCGAAGCCATACTGTGTTGGGCGGATGGCGATGCCAGACTCCTTCATGGTCAAAGCTAGCTGTAAGGCCTCGGGGCTGCAATCGTTCGGCCAGAAATCACTCCAAAAGTTATCGTTCACTTCGTAGTCGTCGTCGTTCATTGTCGGCGGCTGGTAGCTGGGTGATTGTGGAAAGGTTGAGAAGTGAGAGAGCAGGTTATTTAAGTGATACTCAAAAAAGTGAACGCGGTGAGTGGGCGATTATATGGGAGCTAGCAAGAGAAGCCTAAGAGTTTCCACTCCGCAGACGAGGAAGTGAAAGCGCGCATGTGACCACACTGTGCGAAGTCAGGAGTCCGTGAATCAGATGAATCGGGGAAACGCACATGCATACGACAAATCAATCTTTCTTCATTGGTAGATTTTCGAATCACTGTCTTTACCACTTCTTGCCTCCCTCATCACTGAAATCACGTCCCTGACGCTCCTGCTCTAGCCGGGCATCAAACTCTTGCTGAGCGCGCTGTCTCTCCCTAGCCCTCTCCTCATCGCCTGCAACAAATGTATACGAGTCTCCGAGCGTGGACCCCTCCCTTTGCTCCCTGCGCTCCGGCTCCGCTCTCCGCGATGGCTGCTGCTGTGGCCTTTGAAGTGGCGCTGCTGCTCCTCCGCCGGTGCGCCTGAGGCGATCCCATGACGACTCGCCAGGTCTTGCTTGAGATTGGGATTGGGGTTGTTGTGGGTTGTTGACTTCGTCCTGGAAGAGGCCTCCAGTGGGGGAAGCGTCGTCATCGAATGGAAGGGATGAGGGCGGTGCTTGCTGGCGTTGTGGAGCTGGTTGTGATGTGTCGTTTGAGAACGTCTCCCATGTGTCTGATCCCGCGGTTCTGGTACCCCACGATTCGTTTCCAGCGGTCGGGCTCATGTCGTCGCCTCCATCAGCATTCTGTTGAGACTGCTTGCCCCAGCTAGCCTGTGGTGACGGGCCACCTCCTGCCTTGTTCCTGACCTGCTCCTGGAACTGTCGTCGCCTATCCTCAATCTCACGTCCTTGTTGTGCGGTCCGTTGCCCTTCAGCGTGTGATGAAGCCTTCAACTCCTGCCCAAACTGCTCCAGTTTCGGATCATTCGAGGTATTCACCGCAGCCAAAGGTTGCGCTAGTAGTTGACCGATGATGTTGCCCATCTGTCCTGCCACCAAAACGTACAAACTGAATCGCCATGTGTGTCGTGCAAACATCGCCATGTTGCCCTTGATCGGACCAAACTTGTTCCGGTCAATGTCCTCCACCTTTGGCTGGTAGAAGGGATACTTCATCTTATCCATAGTCCTCCACCATTGGTACGTTCCTGCAGCTGCACCCGTGGCGGCGAAATAGCTCTTTGTCTGCTCAAGCTGATATATGTGGAATGCGAGCGCCTGCGCTTCTTCTGGGTTCAATTGGCGGCCGACTTTGCGCTCGGCGAATTTAAGGGTAGTTTCGGTCTTGAAGCGGACGGCGCGGTCGGAGAAGCCCATGAAGGTGCCTATGATCGGCAACGGCTGGGGCAGGACGCTCGCGTCGAAGCGAGCGCCTGAGGAGGGCGGCGACGCGGAAGCATATGGGTCGTTCGAGGAGGGGTACGGGTTATCGGTGAAGCCTTCCGGGGCTGTGTTGTCGACGTCCTGGAGCACCATGTTGGTATGTGTGGGATTGGGTCGTGATGGTGTGTGGTCGTAGGAATTGGTGCGTGGTGTGATGAAGAGACATCAGAGCTTAGCTCAAGCGTTGATGACGGCATCGAACACAACCTCGGGATCAGGGTCCACCTGGCAGCTGCGAACACCCTGACACGATACCATCGCCCAACTAGCGTCTCGCATCGTGACAATTATTGCTTATCACTTTCGTCTACTCCAATTACTTTAAATGAGAAAGGATTGTCACAAGATTCAATACGGTCTATTTCCATGTTCCCCTGACCCAGCGATACTCCCTCGGCAGAAAATGTACGTACTTATACAAAAGATAAAGAAAAATCCACTCCAAGTTCGACCAAACTACTGCGAACCCATATGCTCGCAAGGAAGCAGAAACTAGACTGTGTTGAGTGAGGAAAGTACCCAACTTCGCTTCACAAAACGCCGCGACCCAAAGCCGCCTGCAACGGCCAATTATGATAACCAGAAACACCCTCGAAGGGTACGATGAGAAAAGCGACG